CGCATCCAAGGATTTGTCCGTGGCGAGTGGCGAGATTCATCGGATGATGTCATGCAGCGGAGGATCTGTACTTCGATATTCGAAGAAGAGATTGTGCATCGAATGATCATTCGATGGAGAGACCGGCGTTGTACGATATCAATCTCCCGAAGATTGTCGGTGGCCGGTCCCCCTCCGCAAGGAACTCGGCATCGACGACAGCGTAACTCGCCTCGAGAATGATCGATTCCTGTTGAAATTAGCGGTCCGAAGGCTCGACAAGAGTCCTGTGGGTCTCCGATGAGCATAGTTGGTCAGTGTTCTAAGCGAGTTTGATTTGAATCGCCCTTGTGCGGCTTCATCGAGTGCGCGACCACCACTTTCCAGCTTATTCGTGCGAGCGCGCCGGTAGCACCCTCCCGTATTCCGAGGGGGCAGAATGGGCGTGAGGGAGTTCGAGGAGCGTGTGCAGATTTCAACTGTAGTCATGAGATCTTTTTCGATGGTTCATTGTCGCATTCGTTCGGTGGCGGCGATGTTTTAAGAATGCGAGCTGTCGTCTCGTTCGGCTTTTGACTTGCAAGTAGACTTTATCACAACCATCTTCCAGTCGGGATTCCACGACCTGATTTATACCTTCTTTGTGCCCTTCGAAGCTTCTTCGGAGAGGTAGGGGCGCAAAGTCGGAGTTTAAGCAGCGCTGAATTGGTGTTGCTGAACCGCAAGGGTTCCCCAGTGGCCTCAGCCTGAGCTGCTCGCGGACGGTCCTTGATTGTAGAACTTTTATCTGAAGCCACCGAGCGCGATTCTCAGTCGTCAACCTGAAGTCATCACTAGTCTAGCGGTGCTGGAATCTCTCGGGATTCTCCGACAACGCGGCGCCGCGCGCCGGTGTCCTCTCATGTCCAGAGTTCTCAACACTACGATTGAAATCGATTGAAAAAATGTATAGATAGACGAATACTCCTGCATGAAATGCATTAGAATAATCGAACTATACGTAGTAAATCTAGCGAGTCCGCAGATACGTTTTTCATTCCCCCTGAGTGGGCTCGATGTGACTTCTAATGTTCCTCTTCGGATCCGAGAGTAGATCAGCAATTGGACGACTCTGGAGCCGCTGCTGTGGGAATATCGCGACTGGATACATATTATATGGTCAGAGAACCGAATTCGCCCTCGGACTGAAGAAACGAGTAATCAACAGAGCTCAGCGAAACTAGGCGAAATAGGCGTTACAGGCAGGGGAACAAACGCATCAAAGCGTCGATCAGTCTCGTATTGTAAGAAAGTCATGTGTTAACATGGAATCCCATCGATGAGTAATTGACGCCGATCTGATACGAGCATTTCACAACGACGAAAATATTTTGCGCGTTCAGGCGGATCATCGGAACTTGTCGAAAGCAAGATGTGCTCCTGGAAACTAGGTTCGCCGACCCCATCTCATCGCCGTTCTCAATGGTGAACCCTCAGTTTCCCTCAAAATCCTCGGAATTCGGCCTATCAAAAATTCAGAAAGGCACTCTGGGCACGAAAAAAATGAAACAGGCATTTTGAATTTAAAAAAAACGAAAAATGCAGATATAAGCATTTGAGGCATAATGCCTGAACTTCCGAGCTCTAGTTCACATGGACACAGTATCCACATGGATGCAGTCCTCCCGACTCCCGAATGACGCGAAATAATCGTCGCTATCCGGTCACGGAAACGCGGGCTGGATACCCTCGAGACACGATGTATCGAAGACATATGATCGAGAGCGAGGAATGAGACTGCATGAGAATTACCGAGGCATTTTGTCTCTTCCTTGCCGAATCATTGGGATGATGAATGCCGTCTATCGCACTGGAATACTAGTAGATCGAAAATTCTCGATTTCGTCCTCGTGCGTGCTTACGTTCCATCCCCTCTTCTATGGAACTCAGAGAACATAATCAGAATTCGAATAAAAGGCTGACGATTCGAAGGCTCCTAAACGAATGGAGCCGTCCGAAAGCAAGCCGAGCATGCAGCTAGCAAGCTACTCGGCGAAACTTCGAGGGTGCCGCCCGCTCGTCCGTCCGTATGTGTGTCTGTTCATCCATCGAACAACCTAACAATGGAGCCCAAATTGGAGCCTTCAAGCATCAGGTGCCGCTCCTGTCACTCCCCTAATGAACATTTACAATAACATTCGTTAGGAACTCCCTCCCTCACCTCTCCTCCTCAGCTCTCCATCTCTCTCCCACTCTCTAGTTATTTCTCTCTCGTGCTCTCCGTCTTGTGCCCAAACCCCCTGCCGCTGCTCCCCTCGACGTCCCCCAGCTCGTCCGAATCGGTTCCGACATTGCGCTCTGAAAGGGGCACGGGTAGGGTCGGGGGTTTGGACGACCAAACGAGCCTATTGAGATGTTGCTGCTGCCACGGCAGCTGCTAACGAACGAACGAATCGGCAGGACACAACAGTTGTTACTGCTTCCAATCACGGCCTGCTTTGAGGTGTTGGATAGGGGGGAAACGCGTGAGAAATCCCCCGGTCCGTTCGACCGCAGGGAGATCTTTGAGCGATTATCATTGTTTCAAAAAAGAGAGGAGTCCGAGGGTACTCTGACGCAGGTCCGGGTGACCCCTAATTTAGCGGATCAAGCACACTTCGAAGATGTCTTCCCCGAGTGACTGGGAATGAGATCTTGTCAGTTATTCGCTGCATTGGATTGATTTCGGGATCTCTCTATTTCCTATGAAAACTCAGAATCCGGGGAAATTGGTAGGGCAGTAATCTGGAAGAGTTCGGCGGGTGCATCTGAAGGTTTGTTGTTCGGTCGGCGAACTTTTCAGCAGACGTATGAAATTAAGTAATGAGTCTACAGTTGAGCATCAGGCGAGCAACGAGCCATTCATGCAACCTGCAGTTGGTGTCCCGGCCAGGAACCCGCGTTCGGAATTGATCTTGCTTGACACGGGGAACCGACCAGGCGGAAAAATGTGTGTAGGTGAGGGACGCTGAAGGGGATTTTCAACAGCCGAATCCGGAGAGGCCGGAACACGCTCGACGGGATTAGGAGGGAAGGCACGGACATTCACATGGTACTCGAAGAATGGAACATCGCGGGTCCATGGTGCGTTCTGATTCTGGCGGCTCGCTGGGTCGGAGAACCCCGAGCATGTATACGGATCTTCTCATTCCGTCCGGAGTTTTAGCGTTTTCCGTGATCTCTAGTTTCCTAGACAAGTGATCGTTTTCTCGGAATTTTCCCACTCGGAATCCATGCTCGCAAGAAGCGAAGTCTGGTGCTTGAGGACCTTTTGCCTTTAGGCCGGGCGCTGCTCCGACATAAGAAAGTATTGGGTGCTTCGGCGAGGCACAATCCTGAGCTTCGTTCGAATCCAGGTAGATTGCTCTATACCTATGCGTATTCAGTCCGGGCTGGATATCTGATCGAACCTTGAAAATTTGTCGCAGACAAACGTGACTCTGCTAGTCGATAACTATCGGAGACGGATTCTCAAGCGCCAGGGAGGCCCTTCAAGAAATGTCGAGGGGATTGTAGATGGCCCCGAAACTTATTCGCGGGTACACCACATTCTTCCCGGAAACTCCACGAGATGATCCTCCTCAAGATTCTCCCGATGAAGAACACGGCAGCATGATCTGCGCTGGGCGACCAAGCTCGAGTATCACTTAATTGACAAACCCGGCCGCGCAGAGCCCCTCCAAGAGTTTTGTCTGGAAAGAACTTCGTGATTGTAGGAATGAACCATCGGTTAGACATCACCTAGTTAGTTCAAGGAAGAAGAGCCATTGCTACCCCGGAATAATCGTCGTTCGTTCGGCCAGCGACGCTCTGCCGCCCCTGTCCTCCTGTGAACCCCTCTTTTGAGAGGAATAGCGGCGACGACGAGGAGGGGAGTTAATTAATGAATTTAATTATTTTGAGGTTGCCCGAGGCTATTTTGGCGGGAGTGCTACGCAGCCCTCATACGATGCTCGACGACCAGACGATCGGGGCAGGGGCTCAGCGAATGAGAGAGAATAGAGAGTAGTGCGGAGGGATCGTGCTGGAGGACGAGCGCGGTCTATGGGGTATGGCTTATAATTAGGATAATTAGATAGGCTCTACGTCGGTACGCCCAAGTCCCTCCTTCCGATCTCCATGCTCTTTCTTCTCTGTGTCCCTCTCTCCAGCGCCAGTCGTTCTCCTTGCGTGTTCCACGGCATCGCGCGACACAACGGGAAGAGAATGGACTCATAACTTCGGTTGATTTATGAGGAAATCATTCTCTGTTGTATCTTCGGCTTCCCAGTTGCGATTGCGGACTTGATAGGAAAACGTCTCGCGATATTCACCATAGTACACATTCGATCGCAGACTGGCTCGGGAGCAGCTTCCCGGCGCCTGCATTCTGCGGCATAGTCCAAACTCGTCTCGAGATGCGTGTATTCTTGACAGAATCAAAGACACGGTCAGTTCTCGACGCCGTGGAGAGGGAAGGGGACCTGAGCCGATAGTTTTGCGCGACTTCCCATGCTCCGGGATCGATCAGGATCAGATAGTCTCCGGCGAGCGGCAGAAGGTCCGGACACCTTGCGGCCGAGGTCCCGTCCGGAAGAGGAAATTCGGAAAATTGCCGTATGCTGATTGTGGGGATCTATTGTCGGTATTTACCTAGACTTCTGGGTTTGCCACCGACTCCTGACCCTTCCGTTGCTTTCCCCACGCCGTCCAAGTTCGAAGTTCACGTACGATATTATTCGGGACATCGCATTTATACCTCACGGCCGCGTCCCTGCTGCGGTGAAGAGGTGTCAGGGTGTGGAATTCCCGATTACTAAGCCTGATGGCATTTAAAAACTGAGTATTTCCTTTGTTTCCAGAGGTCGACGCACTCCGGTACCATGGACCCCGCCAGTAGGTTGGAGTGACGGCGCGCTACCTTGCGGAACACCCCCCCTTAGTCATCCCTTAACCCCAAATCCTCAAAGACCTCCTAGCTGGGATCCCTTCACACCTTCGGATTCAAGATCCTCCCCTGGTTCCGATCAGCTGTCCAATATAGATCCTGCGTCGGCACCGTCGAGTCAGCAGGTCGGTGCTAACCACCATCAATTCTACAATTTCGAAGGTGAGGCTCGGCCAATTCTCGTACTGTTCTCTATAGTGGGGTTCGAAGCTGTAAATAATCTCAGAGTTTACTGGATCTGCTGCATCCTGAAACGGGACTGGAACCTCAAGCAGGATAATGAGTGACCAGCCCGTTCCCGACGATAACTTGAGCGAAGGGTGCTGGCGTATCAGGAGTAGAGATCGGGGGTCCATCTCTGCGAAAAACGGTTTATTTATGTCCACGCACCACTCTTCCGATCGCAGATACTTCTTTCGCTTGTGTTTTCTCACCCATCTCAGTCAGTCAGCCGATTTTCAGCGCTTTCGGTCCCCCAGCTGCTGTATTTCGAGAAGTGGGCAAGAAAATATTGCATTGACGGCAGCAACAGACGGAGGAGAATCGAGAGGGCACTGAACGGGAAGAAAATAGCAATACCGGCAAAGAAATGCCCATATAAGGATCTGACTGAGATGGCAGGCCACGATACTGAACAGGGGAGAGGGGAGCATGTCAATGTGTCGTGGGACAGGGAGATTCGCGATTCGAGACTCAGAGCAAGAAATGAGGCTTCGGAGGGTAGCTGGAACATGGGACCGTTGGCAAGCAGCGCGGATCGATGACCCGTCTTCGTCTCGCGAAAATACTCCGAATGTCTCCGCTAGAGCGATTTCCTCGCGATCTGGTCGATTAGGTTTCGAAAATGATAGTAGGATCCAGTCTCACTCAATGCGCTGATGGTGGATCATATCGAATACCCGAGGCTCGGAATCAATGCCGAAAACGAGGTCTACTCATTGATTCAGAATTTGTTTCATGGGGTACCGCGTCGAAATGCATGAAGACGCCAAGGAAACATGGGAATGTTTCCCGCCTGTCATACTACCAAAGAGAGAAGAAAACGGGAGAAGAGTCTCATTCGAATTTCAGAGGCCGACCATTATTCGTCCTCAGAGAAATGCACAGCATCTTCTCAGTCTCTCCCAGTGCTGACGAGCCCCTGATTTCAGCGCCTTTTCCTTTGTTCTTCGATGTTTGACTACGCTCTCTACTGTTCCGTTCTTCTTCTCTCGATTTGCTTCTGCTATCCCCGTCGCTTCGTGCGTCCGATCGTCTGTCTGGCCCGCTAGCGTGCTTTCCCTCGCTCTGGAATGTCTGATTGAACTTGACTTTTGCGTTAATTGAAAAAGTTTCTTCTGAATCCGAGCTAGATAGCATGCTCCGTGCTTTCCGTATGGCCAAGTTTTAATGCTGCTCGATCCTCTCTCTCTTTTGCTCGCTCTCTCATTCGCTTATCTGTATCGCGCCCCTGCTGTTCACCCTATCTTCCTCGCACGCGTGGGCTTCTCTCCTTCGAGCTCCCAACAGATCCATCTGTCGACCGGCTCCACCCACCAGCATACCTCTGCCAAGTCATGACAGAACTTCGGTGCCAGGAACTCGGACTCATCCCATTTTTCCCCTCATTCGAGAGACGCCCGTAGGCTCCGAGAAAGTCTCGGTAGCGGTCTTCCGCCGGCTCCCTACCGCTAGATGGAAATCCATTTTTACTCCGGCAAGGCATCCTCCAAGGCCCAGTTGGATTCGATCGAATCCTCTTTTCAGTCGCAGACGAGTCGATCCAGGTCTTCTGCGAAGTTCCTAATGAAGATGTGGCCAGTTGGGTACCGAAAGAGTTACCGAGCCAAATACGGACTTAAGGGGTCATTAGTCGCCCTTAAATTGAACATTTTTTTTACCTATTCCAGGTAGCAGTGGCCTGGGACTTTCTTCAGGAGCTGGAGTGCTTCTGTCACCGCCATCTGAGATGATCATGCCTCCCCACGCACACCCATCACCGACGGGCGCCCCTGCGGGTAGCCTAGGCCATGCCAACCACGGCGGCGTCCAACCGTCGCCTCCTGCGAACCGACCATGTGCGGCCTGCGGAGGTGCAATCCAAGACAGGTACGTTCGTACAGCTCTCCCGAAGATCTCTCGGCGGTTTCATGCCTGAAAATCTCCGATTTTGACATATTCAGTCTCATCTTTGAATTTCCGATTCTTCGAGGGATCTCCCAGTTTGACCATTATAAGTAGTAACTTCGTCAGCTGACTTCAGCTTCTTGATGCTCGACGCGTATTTCTTGAGAATCCTACGTTTGATAGGGAGTGAAAAATACTCAATCATGTTACAGCCATGTGGCTCTCTACTCATTGGCTTTCTGCGCGCTGATGGCAGCATGCTAGCTTATTCCGGCGAGATATGATACATTATTCCTGTGAGTAGTGAGAAATTTGAGGAAATGCTCTTTCCCGAACGTGCAAGTCGGCCCGAGTCGGTACCGAAAAGATCGGCGGATAAGAACTCCGCTGTCGCGATTTCTCACCCTGGATCGATTCGTCCATTCATCAGCATCGATGTTTAGGGGAGCCTTCAGTGTTCGCCGCATAACTCGAGGGCCAATTACGAGAGGTGGGGAAGTTTGCTCATCTCGAGAGTGTTCAGAATGCATGGAAACCATGCCATTCGAGCCTCACCTATGACGCTATTACATTCGTTCTAATCAGAGAACAGACTCACTCAAGTGGATAACGCAGAAAATTTCCGAACGAGGACGATCTTCCATGAACGTCAGTCTATAAACTCGAGATCCAAGATCACAAACGATTGTCTTCTCATCTCATTAACGAGGCATCGATTTCATCAGCGAAATCATTGATCCTGTTCTCAACAACGCGACGCCATCCATGAGATCGCGAAACCATGTCTCTCCTTTCATTTTTGATCGCATCAGGGAGATGATTTCGAGTCAGAGCTTTCTCTGTGTGAAGGAGCTATCCCGAATCACATCCGACATAACGGCCACAATCTTCGCGCATTCACTACCTTATTCTTAGATCGATGCCCAGTCGACTCGTTCAGAAACCATACTCTCTGTTGAACTCAGCTCGCCATCATAATCGAGATCGGCCCGGATTTATCATGGCTCGCCCATGGAGGCTCATGGCCTTACGGCTAACACATGGTAAAAGGGAGAGTTTTGCGAAGTTTTTCTTCGGACTCATCACCCGTCGCCGGCGCTCTATCTACAAGTCTCCCCTGGGGAGAGGTAACAATTAAAGTTCGCGGTTCTCGGCCCTGGATCACTCAATCCAATCTTAATCGAAAGTCTCGGAACTACAGGAGTTCCCGGTCGATGATCGGATGATCCCTCAGAAGGAACAGATGTCCCGCCAGCGGGGCTAATGACTCCGGAGATGATATCATCGGACGCTTGCCTCTGCTGTGAATCGTTCCTATCCGATTTCTTCTGCGAGTTCCCTTTTTCCCTCCCGGAGTTTTCCGAAGTCATCTGATAATCTCTCTCGCCATTGCCGCAGGAGCGGCAAGAAAGGTTATCAGGGTGGGCGCTATCGCCTCCTCGAGCAATCTCGACTTATCTTCGAATCCTGATTCATAATTGAGAACCTCAATTTCCCAACAGGGAATATCGATCGACTTCGAGAATTGTATTCGGGACCGCCGCAACGATGGTGGTCCCGCGTTCGATATGAATTCTTTTGATGAGGGCTACGTCTTCGGAAGAGCGCCCCATTCGCGCCGGTCAAATGAGATCATGTCTCCTGCTCGGAATCGTTTTTACGCCTCCGAGCCTGAGGGTTCCGTACCATCGGGGGCTCTGGAAGATGCCAAAACCTTTTTTGATATTTTGACCGTAAATTGACTTTCATACTGAATTATCTGTTTTTTCTTCCAGATATTTTCTTCATGCAATGGATAGATACTGGCATCATTCGTGTTTGAAATGCTCATTGTGCGCTACGCCTCTTGCCGACATCGGAACATCCTGCTTCTTCAAGAACGACATGATACTGTGCCGGACCGATTACGTCAGGTGAATATCAATCGATACACGGCTTGCGCAAATCATACAGTGCACTTCCCATCATCCCAAAAATTTTGTCGCGCTCACCGAGCAGATGCCTCTTGCACCCAAAACGACGCTCGGAAACTGTAGACGGAATGCCGATCGACGCTTTTCCGGGACAAGAGCGAACTTTCTGAATCCCGTCCCCTCCCGTGTTCTCGAGGCCCTCTATCCCAAGCTCGTCGTCCCTCTCGATCGTCACCGCCAGCCCGTGTAATTTCCCCGGAATACCCCCTTCCCCTCATAAGTGTTCTCTCCTCTCTAGTTTCTCTTCGCTTATCCGCATCCCTCCCTCTCGTCTTCCCTTTTCCCTCACCCTATTCGCCCTATCGTCCTAAGTGCACTTTCAAGTTGCTGCTTTTAGAACAGAAGGGCAGTGGGTGGAAAACGGGCAGGGGTTGAATAGAAGGGCGGGGTAGGAGCGGGGCGGCCGCGTTCTCCGTCGCTTACGCAATGCATCCGTGCTGCTAACGCTACACAACCTCAATACCGGTGCTCGATCCCGTCTCTGACCCTCGAAGTTTGAGGAGCTTTTGTATATTCAAACGTTCCGGGAGTCGCTCACATTCTATCTGTGCTGATAGCTCATGATTGCGGCCCAGAAGACCTCAGCTTCACAGAAAAGCCCGCGAGAGAGCCCGTCCAATTATCATATGTCACTAATCAAGCGAATGGTGCGGGGAATACCCCATGGATCACATCGCCTCTCAAGCCAGGTCTAGCTCCTTGACCCGGACCATACCGTTCAACGACGATTTCTGGTGAAGTTTTGAAAGAGTTGCTCGTCTCGTCGGCGCCCAGGCGTCCAGGGTGGGGAGGAGGACGCGAGGGCATGGGAAGGGGATGAAGAGAGCAAGGGGATGCAGGTTCCCCTCCTCTACGACACTAAAAGCATATCCAAGTCTGTGTTCCTTCTCCCATAAGTGCATTACAATCCCTCGCCAGCCCTTCTCCTCTAGGCGGACGGGCAGGCGGGCGGCAGCAGCGGTGGCGGCGGCAGCGGGCGTACACAACACTAATGTGTTCGGAGGGGAGCCTGGGGGAGCAGGGATAGCGCTCGGGCCTTTTAAGGGCTTTCAAAGGTGTTTCTAAGGTATTATGGCGATTAGCCCCCTCTCCGCCTTCAATCCCCATGTCTGTGCCCCCTTTGCTTCCCGGCCGCCACCGCTCTCCCTCACTCTTCATTCTCGACGGTAGTCCCAAGCTGAGGCTCGACCGGCGTGCGGATGGGCAGGCAAGGAAACTGGCAAGCGCGCGGGCAGGCAAGCACTTTACCCTTCCTGTCCCCTTCCCCGACTTGGAGCTTCTCGCAATTGCCAAGTTTGTCCACCATAACCTCTCTCGAGCCCTCAGTCGCCTGCCGCCTCCTCCTGGACGCTCGACGGCCCCCGGCTCTCTGAACTGTGGACTCTGAGTTGGTTTCTCGGAAGTGAAGAGGTGATGGCTGAAGCTAATCGAAAATATTGGTCGATACGTTCCGAATTGCGATCATTCGGGCTACGAGATTCGCTCCTGGTGTGAGAAGATGGGGAAGATAGACTTCCTCCTGACCTAATCGATGAAAGACAGAACCTCAAAGCAGGATGCGCCCGCGAGCTTCAGGATGAATGGACTGGAGGAGGACAAGTTTCCCAGATTCCTCCCTGTGGGACTGTCGCATCTTCAGCCGGGAGGCCCGAGCAAAACTGGGTGGGCATGACCGTCCTCCTTCACGAGATTCATCGATACGCGAAGAATTCTTTAATTCGAAGTTGGTGCCGAATGAGCGAATCGGAAATAGCGGCTCGTCGAAAAGGATCGGGAAGCTCGTGTCACGGTATGGAGGGAGCGAAGGATGAATCGGGGGAAAACACGATGTGATGAGCGAGAATCAGAGCTGAAGGGAGAAGTGGAGAGAAACAAGGGAAACAAGGATTGTCAGAAAGAACTGCTCCATTTTACTCTGGGGAAACATGATTATATCGAAGTAATGTGTGGGATACTACGAGGCCACCGAATTAGCCTGAGACGGGGAGGAAAAGTGAAAGCAACTGCGATGAGGAAGGAAAGAGCGAGGCGAACGTTTGAGTATGGATTTCTTCGCTTGTCGGCCGGAGCTATATGCTGCGGTGCCAGCAACATTCTACTGATTCTGCTCACTGGCGGAGTGTACCAACTGGCGGCGAGACAGTGGCGGGCGGCGCGACGGCGGCCAGAGGCAAGATGATCCCTTTTCTGCACGCCTCATCCCCTTCCTTCGTCCCGTACTTTGCTATTTCCCCCTTCCTGCAGCCCACTATCGGAAGAGTCCATTACGCCATTAACGTCTCCTTCGGTGTGCGGTCCTCCTTCTCTTCGTCCCCAACCACCCCGCAGCCACTCCCCGCGCCCACTCACTAATTTTTTCCTTGCCTTTGTGTCGTTCAGACACTCGTCGAGGTAACAGCTCGATGGTGACGCCTGTCGGAGGGTCCTCTGATCTCCCGCTGTGACATACCCGCTGAGTAAGGCTAGCCCTCGACGCGTCGGTCTGGATTTTCCGGATTCTGCTCGTACCTGTGAATTACGTATACTACTCAATCGACTTGAATCTTCAAGCTTACCTGACAAGAGAATCAAGTGTCAGACTCAATACGCAGTTTTGCGGGATGGAAGAGCCATGCAATTCCCCGTCGCTTTGGGAAGCCTTCCGCCAGAACGGTTAGCGGGAACCGAAGACGAACAAGAAACGTGCAAGAGCGCGAACAAAGTCACTCGAGGTGCGAAGCGGAAGCACGCGGATAGTCGACGTAGTTCTACTAGGAACGTGTCTGATATATTCTTTCTGCGTCTGGTCGCCTGTTCTCCGGATAGCTTCCCGCTCACAATGTTTATTATTGAGCTCGAAAACCCCCAGAGCCGGATGAGGTGTCCCCATCCGTATTCGAATGTCGAGAAGCGTCGTTAGCTCGGGAGAAAAAAAATCCGCTGCCTTTCTTTGGATCATCCGGCGCTCGGTCCCTCCAGTATTTTTACATAGTCGTGCAGGGTTGGCCAGAAATGTTTGGTCGCGGGCAGTGCTTCGCCACAAGAGCCGTCATCGGAACCTAGACCTTTTTGGTCATGCTTGTCACGGCAGAAGAGGCTCGACCGTACTTGACGGTCTTTTTTCGTCGAATGCGGAGTCGATGATGACGGTTAGTCTGCGCACAAAGAAAGATTAAACGTCCTTCAGGGCTCCAAATCTTCGAGAGCACTCCTACCCCTCAGATTGCGGGTTCATCGCTGCTCTCGGAGGAATAGAGCGCGGGATTATGCCCAATGAACCAGGAAGGGAATTTTCGTGTCAAGAGAAGACTCATCGTCACGGGCGAGAAGCCGAGCGAAAGGATCCGTCTCCCGGCTGCTAATAGCTGGAAAGCAACAGAGATCAAAAGTCCCTCAGGGATGTCGAGGGGCGGAGTCGGTGCGGACCAGCAGCTTGGCCTGCATAGGGTTGCGCGGCTGCAATGCCTACTGAGGAACAGCGAGATAAGCGCAGAGAAGAGGTGTCGTGGCAGCATGTTGGCGGGAGGACGGAGAGAGATTGCACAATTGAGCACACCTTAAGGCAAGATGAGGATCTCGGTTTACGATCTTCCGATCGCGGTCGAAGGGGAGGACGGCTGAGCCCAAGTTCGTGACCAGGCTTCAGGAAGCAACGGGATAAACGCATTCAATCAGAAGCCGTGAGATCATTTGTTAGCGCCGAGTCATTGCGTGACATGATGCTCATGCCGAACCGCCCTCCATTCCTTCGCTCGAGTCTCAGGTTGCTACACTCATTGTGCCATCAAATTACGCCTCTGTTTGGCGACGCACCGTGCAGTTTTCCGATCGGCGCAATCGGAAAGACCGGTGAGAATCCGAGAGAGGATACGGGCTGATTTGTGCTTGTATTCAGTGTAGGCCGGCGAGAGCTTATTTCATATTTGCTCACAGAAGAAGAGCGGCTGCTCCTTGTTCAGGGTGAGGACGGTGGAGGAATCGGTCGCTGTGATGATACGAGAGCGCAAATAAAGCTCCCTCTTTGTGCGTCCGTCCCGTCCGTCCCGTCCATCATTCCCTCGTTCCTTCCCTTGTTCCTCCCCGATACGTTCAGTTCCATCTGATCTCTGATGAAGGGTCGACAGAGACGACGGACCTGAGAGAGCTCTCGGTCGAGCGGTCGGAAGTAGCCAAGAGCCAGCTCCCGGTCATGTATTGAAGCGATGATCTTCCCGTCATGATGCGATTATTACACCGCGCGCGTAGTCTCCCCCTCCGGGATTTTTTTTTCCGTGCAACTTCCTATCGAATCACGAGCAACGTCTGCGGAGGCTTTCGTCGGCCACGTCCGTCCTGGAGCACAGCACTCAAATTGAGAGAAGTTTTTCCGCCGGAGCGCCGAGCTGCCTGGCAGTCCCTGCGGAATCGTGAAAGCAATCGGCCGAAGAGCTCTCCGAGCCTCCATTCGTCGGGGAACGAGCGCGCGGGCAGAAAACGGAGAAGATTGGAAGGGGCGAACTTCAATCATTTCTTTCAATGAATCCTCCCAGACGGCGACAATGATGACGAGGAAGACACGGAGCCTGCATTATAATTTATTCGAGTTCTCGCTGGGAGGACCTTACTCCGGCAATTCCTCGCATTTACACCTGCTGTTCAAGCGCTTCTATTCCACAAACCTATCTATGCTGACACCAGCTTTTCTCAGCACCCGGGATGTCTCATTTCATGTTCGTCAAACCCCTGGAACTTGACACCCGATGCAGAAAATTTCACGCGGAAATTCTATATTCCAGGATGTTCGGGTCGCCTGGAATGTGTGCAGCGTGTAATCAGATGATTCCTGCGAATGATTACGTCATGCGTGCCCCGTCTATGCGAGGCGGTCAAGTTTATCACCCAACGTGTTTTTCGTGCGTCAAGTGCCAGAATCAACTCAAGCCCGGCGACAGGTCAGTTGAGGATTCAATCCCTTGCTTTGCGATTTTCTTGACTTGAGCCCCCCACCCTCTCTCCCGTGTGGCTTAAGATCTAATAGCCCCTTTCTCGTTACAGGTACAACCTGGTGAACGGGTCGTTGTTCTGCGAGCAAGATTCTCTGAAGATGCTCAAGACTTCGACAGGTACCGGACGCGGCCGGGGCCGTAAAGCCCAAAACAATGTTCCTGGCGGCCAGGCCATCAAAGTGTGACGTTCCCGAGCAGGCAACGCTCTCAAGCGAGGGGCCAGCTTTGAAATGCAGCAGCAACAACAGTCGCATCATCTAACCGCAGCAGCAACGATGACTGCAAACCAACAGCAAAGCGAATCTCCTTTGCCCCCGCAACAGGCTGGATGCAGCTACCAGAGTTTGTAGAGAACGACCTTGCCTCTGATATGACTCGACGAGGCAAGATGATGATTTCCATCTCGATCACGACGCGACGTAGAAACCAACCAGCAGATTTTGTGAGGAGCTCTGAGCTTCAATCTCACTCTCTCGATTGACGCTTCGAAGAAGTTCAAAGAGAAGGATACATACCTGTATATCCGCTCTCTGTCCTCGAGTGAGTGACTTTCTCTTCTGCTCACGTGAGACACGGCACATGGTTTCTTCGTTGTGCTGGAGCAATACCTGAACTGAGAGGACAGTGGTGATTCTCCCCGGTGTGGGAAGAAATGAAGATCCCAGCTCCAAAAAGTTCGAGGACATCAACAAGAACATTGATCATAAGAACTGGTAGAACTGCGAGGCAATCATGTCGAAATAGGGCGTTGTCTGTGATAATTGATCTTTTCCCCAACATCAAATCCGTGAGTCGTGAACTTTCGGGATGTACTTGCTGATGGAGTTCTTAATTTCCCGGGAGGGGAGGGGGAATTCATTTCTCTTCCCTCTCTCGGGAACTGGGAATCTATCCACTTGGCGGAACTCCGCCTGTAAAAATTGTACATAGATGAAATTACTGCATAACAATACTTTACAAGGAGCTCGCCGCTTGACCACGTGTTGTTCGCAGCGGCTAACGCGCACGGCAAGGAAGCAGTCGAGAGGAAGGAAACGCTTTAAGGATGGACGGCAACGACGAGGACGATGGATACAATCTCCGTGTAATGAACGTCTTCCTTTCACTTTGCTCTTCGAATCTCTGCATCTCAATATCATCCTAATTGTTATCTACTAATCGAGCGAGAAGATCGTCTCGCTCCTAGAGAAGTTACCTGGCTCTGGAAACGGACCCTGATTTGTATGGCCGAGAGAATATCGAAATTCAACACTCTGGGAGCATCGAGAAATGAAGACGATCTTGTCGAAATTGTAGAAAACCCACAAAAGGCAGAAGAGAATACTGGAATGAATTTCAAATCGAACGACGAGCTCAAAAGTACGCGTGAAGGATAAGCGCTTCCCAAAGTTGGATGAAAGAGTTACAAGGAGACATCTTTTGATATTTATACTATCTTCTATTACTTTGGAAAACTGATTGTTGAGAGGCATCGCGGCCGGCGACGTCATACACTCCCGCTCTCTTTTTATGGCAAGTCCTAAAGCAATACTATCACGAAGTATGAGTTTTTGACGGGAAATAAATTTGTCAAAGACGAAAATCGTCTCCTCCTGCACGTTTGGTCGAGAGCACCATTTCATCTACGCTCCGTAACAATCCTTCGTATTCCCATCTTCGGAATCCTTTGGACATCTAGGGAGGCAGAAAGAGAACCGTGCCCCTGCTTCAGCGAACTCCGGTCTCATTCTCTTCCTCTTCATCGTCCAATTCGATTTCTTCCAAAAGGATATTGAAGGTATCTTGACCGCTCTCTTCCGAGACTCCTCGATTGCTCACTTTGATTTACGACCGTAAGCAACGCGTGCGTGTCGCGAGGCTGTCATGAGAAACAGGGTACAAGAGCGGATCTGAAAATCGAGCTAGAACAATGATCCACGCGGAATGCTGGGCTTCATTCCCGAATGAGGCACTGATTGGTACGTCATCCATGGAACACCAGGTCAAGGTGACCCACTGAGAATGAGTTGCGCAACGCCAGATCACTTTTGGAATCTGTGCTCACCTGAGATTCCCGGACTTTCCGCTGCCTTTGGGGAAACTGAAGACGTCGAGATCCAAATCCGGGCGCTGAAGTAAATTCGGGCTGAGTGATCCAGGCGGTTGGCTTTATTATAAAAAGGATGAGTCCCAGGTTATCGATGGTTGACTGGTCGATATGCTAAGTGAATGATCAACTGATGATTGTATTGAAGCAAGCGAAGCAAATGATTGCGTCATGGAATAAAGTTGAGAACATTGTAAAGATCTTCGATTAGAACTCGCGATTTTCAATCTCAGAGTTCTTTCAGCTCGGCATGCCGTCGATGCCGCGGCATGGACCAGAGGTACGGGTACCCGGAAAACCATCTCTCTCTCTGAGCCACCACAAATCACAGATTAAGATGATCCTATCTCATTTCCATCTTCGTGAGGCTTGCCTGCTCTCTACCCTCGAACCTGGACCGTCTGATTGAGGGTACTCTTCGCCCCTCTAATGCCCTTGTATTTGAGGCCACCCTTATGACACAGGAAGTATGGTGAAATATGAGGCACCGAAACGAAGACACCGGGACAAGCATCCAGTCGTGGAAGACTTGTCTCGCGATGGAATCGACCGGAGTTGATCCAGAATGTCACCCGCGATCATCCATCATCAAACACTGGTTCAGAGTCCCAAACGCCCGCTCGCTGTAACCGCCAAAATTGTGCCGAGCCGTCCTTGCTCTCCTCCTCCTAGATGTCCTAGATTTACCCGTGACCTTCGTGTATTTTCTCCGGCTTATCCCTCCGCGACACAAGGGAGCAAAGTGGAAGGATGTTGCTATGAGAAATATGACATAATGCTTCGCATCGGTTTTGTCACCAGGATTTACAGCGAGCGGTGAGGCGTGTGGGTGGCCCAGCGTTGGTCAGGCGCGTCCGGTCCGAACGCAGGCTTGCACGTCGGCTCTTTAGGAGCTCCGAGATTCTTTAGAATGTAGGCCGTCGATTCGTCGCTCATCTCCTTCGGCGTATAGTCAGAGGGAGAAGCATATACGCATCCAACTATACGATAGAATGCGCCCATGAGGTCCGCGTCACGATAAATCTGACATGCCCCTGGCTCGAGCATCGAAATGTCCGGTGTCGAGCAATCTCGACGTCCAGACGCGCGGCATCGACCCGTTCAGAGTCGGATGGTCTCGGCACCGACTCGACCTGCATCGAGCCGACTCGGCATTGACTTGGTCTACATTGAATCATTGCGGCGTCGCAAAGTCGGCCTAGAGATCGCTGGCATCAAGTCGACCACGTCCGAAGCACAGCATATGTATCCCGGAATGAACTAACATTCACATCAGGGCGCCGTCGTGATCTATTCACCCCACGACGACGGTGGGAGGAACATTTACTATACTACATGGACAAAACATCCCGGAAGCTGGAAGCTGATTATGAATCACCTTTGCTTATTGAGTCTAGGTGAGGTCTCCTATTTTAGGGATACCCTGGAGATAAAACGGGCGCTAGGGATACCAGGGAATATCGAATGAGCTCGTCGATGGCGAACTTGGCTCGTCATCGACTGATGCACAGGACCTTTGGAGGAAACTGACCGGAAGATACTCCGAGAGACAGGGATCAATGTCGACAAATATGTAGATAACCGGAAGCGATCTTAAGAATCGCGGAGCTCACTCGAAAGCAGACCTAGACGTACCGGGAAAGCGGTAGAGGACGAGAAAAGTATAAGTGTTCAGATATCGGCTTCGGCTTACAATTAAATGGAGGAGGACGCCCGCTGATGATCTTCATCGAACGAGTCAAAGAGGGGATACTAGAGAGCCAATGCAGAAATAGCATGCTTCTAGAAACGGGCCTCAGCACAAACCCGAGCAGTATCTAGCTTCACCTACGCTGATAGTACGGAGAGCCCACCTCACTTCGGTCAGGGCGAACCTCCCAGCCGCGAGGCCAACCTTCGCTTCTTTGCGAGATTATCAAGAACAACAGGGCGGAATTCTTCTTTGAGACCGACCGCGACTCAAGGCGGCAAGGAATCACTTCTCGGAGCCGTTCGCAACTTCCATAATTATAAACATTTCCATTCGGAGCTTTACCCATCACCCCATGAATTCTGAATATTCTTTGTGTGTATATACCAACCCAGTCCAACTCCGACGTGGCCGAAGAACTCGCTGCTGACTCACGAGACCCTGGGAGTTTTCTCGATGCGTTTTTGAGAGCGCGGGGACGCGTCCGCGTATATCCGAATGTGCTTCCTATCGAGATCTATTGTTGTACGGTCTTGAACCCTCCGAGACAAGGTGCGACCCATTGTCCGGATGTAATATCCGACGGAGACAATATCCATTCCGACTGAGTTTCTGCATGACGATTGAGAAATCCCAGGGTCGGTCGTTTTCGCGCGTCGGTATCGAATTGAATGAGCCTGTCTTCTCAAACGGTCATTTCTATGTAGCTTCGTCGCGGGTGCAGAGTTTCTCGGGGATTCTCATATCGTCAACGCAGAACCGGGTGAAAAGCCCAGTATACAAGGAAGACCTGCTCAATTGAAATACTCCCCGCTGACGATCCCCAAAAAACTGCATCATCAACCACATTATTCCATGTAGGAATTTTCCAAAACTATGGGTTAAGAACCTTCATCACGCCTATGCAACCCCTAATCAACGATCGGGAGATGACATATTCAAGAAAATGATTCACGTCCTCCGATTAAATGCCGTTGCATCTGCAGCAAGCCAAGTACTTCCTCGAGCCCCGACCAATCCCGTCCTGAGAAGCGCCTGTCGACGATCGGAATTGTCCGTTGGATGGAAAGAGCAAAACCTCAAGAATTGGCGCGCCTGCTCCCACGCAAGACCACACGTTTCTAAAAGCGTTCTGGAGTCAACTGAGAGTCCTTACTTTCTCCGAGCCTGTTATAATTTGAAAGGTGGTTCAAAAAATTGCTTTCTGAAGTCTCGAATTCCCCATTCACCTACTCTCTGAGGTGAATAATACCTTTCTGTTGTCTTCGACGTGTCCGTATGCCCTCTTGAAAGAAATGCTCAAACCCGAGCACATGAATTCCTTGGCCGAACTCATAAACCATGAATAAGATGCCACAAATATCTCCCGAAAATTCAAGCGCAATGGGAGTTTCACATTCATTTCTCTT